CCTCAAGTCTGAGGGGCCAGCTGCACTCCTGACCAACTGGATACAAATCTGGGGGTTCTCATGACTCCCTCAGTTTTGATAATTCACTAGAACAAATCATAGAATTCACTGAAAGCACTCTACATATAATTACAATTTTTTGGTAAGGGATACACAGAATGCAAGGTCTGGGAGGGTACCAGAAGCAGAGCTTCTACGCCCACTCCCATGGAGACAGGGCTGATTACTCTCTCTGCCAAGAAGAGAGATATTCACCAGCCAAGAAGCTCAACTGGGCTTTGGTGTCCAAAGTTTTTATTGGAGTTTCATTATGTAGGCATGATTCATTACATCACTAGCCCTGTGATTGAACCCAATCTCCAGTGTCCCTCTCACCCCCAGGTTGGTCTGAAGTTCTAATCATGTGGGTGGTCTTTCTGGTGACCAGCCACCTTTCTGAAGCTATGTAAGAACCCATCAGAGGCAAACTGATTGGCATAATAATGATTCTCCTGTCACTCAGGAGAGTCCAAGGGTTTTTGAAGCTCTGTGTCAGGAGGTAGGGACAAAGTTTAGATATATTATTTTTATATTATATCAATAGAAAATCACTTAAAATCAATAAAAGAGTTCGAAAAAAGCCAAACATCAAGTAGATTAATAAAAAGTCAGTGCATTTCTTTTATACCAGTAAGACCAGTAAGAAAATAGAACAATCAGAAGATGTTATTACAATATCAAGAAAATGTATACAACCTATAAGAATAAACTTAATAAAAAATGTGGCATAGATTCCAGAAGATACAGGGGAAAGTCAGGAAAGAAAGGAACATGAGGTTAGGTTAAGGGAGAGGAATCACAAAGCAGAAAGGAGAACAGATAATCATAGGGCTCACTTCTAGGATGGTGACTGAAGATGTCAGGGACTAACTGGACTCAAAATGTCCAACATACCTTGGGTATGAATATGAGGAGGCAAGATGATGCCTGGAGGTTCAATAATACTTGTGGTTACTTATTTGAGTCACCCACTGAATACATCATTCCCAAACTGACTCTGGGGAAGGAGGACAGAGAAGATCGTTACACTGCTCAAAGTAAACTGCCAAGGGCAGTTGAAAATAACTAATCAGTGGGTTATTTAAAGAGAAAATTTAAGCCTAGATTGTATTGCTTTACAATGGTCTCATTTCCTGCAACCTTATCATATGGTTTAAATTTATTTGCATTTAGCTGAGTAAAAAAAAAAAAGTTTAAATTTGGTTAGAATAAAGTTGCTATGGTAGATTCGCTTTATTTTTCTACCATCACCATCTAGTGGAGAAAACTTTGAACTTCAGGCAGAATGAGCTAGGGTTCAGGAATAAAATAGAGGCCTTGTGAGTCAGGCACTATACCACACACTTTACATTTATAAGGTCATTTGCTTCTCACAGCAGATCATTTAGTGCTTCATCGAGATAGGCATTGTTGTTCCTCTTTTAGATTTGGAAAGTGAGTCTGAGAAGTTGAGTATCTTGCCCAAGGTCACACTGTGGCCAACTCAAACCCAGATTCCTGAAGTCCATGTCAAATGCCATTTTCACCTCACAGTACATCCAAATACCTCAACTTTATTCATGGATATGACCATGGATGCAAAATATACATACATATATGGAGAATTTTGTCTTTTCTTTATATTTTTTCCTTTTTCTTATTTTTTCTTATATATAATATATATATGGGCAAAGCACATGTATTAAAAAGAAAATACTGTGTAGTTTGCATTCTGATTTTTACTCCATATTATATAAATACTTTCCCATTATAATAAATACTTTTGATTTTACCCATATATACATATACATATTAGGTAACAATAAAGACAGATATAGAATCACATTTATATGTACATATACAGTGTAATCTTGAAATGCATTTTAAAAAATTGGAAGAAGCTGCTAAAATATTAACGATGCTGATCTCTGTCTGAGTAGATTTTCCATAATAACATGTATTATTTCTAAAAATATATATATTTTAAGCCTTACATTTACCAAAAGAAAAGACATTCAAGAAACTTCACAGTTGTCTAATTTGTTGTAATTAAAATAATTTGCTTGTGTTAGGGGTGACCATAAGTCCCTATTTTTCTATAATCATTTAAAATTAATGTAACATATTACATTTCCATATTTAGTAATACTTTCTTTCACAACCTGTTTTGAGGACAGCCCTAGAACCTGAAGGGTGGCAGAATTTGGCACACCAAAATATACCACTTAGGCATAATGATTAAAACTGACCCTTGAACAACACAGATTTGAACTGGGCAAGTCCATTTACACATGGATTTTTATCATAAAAACAGTACTGATATGTGGAATTTAAGAAACAAAACAAACGAACAAAGGGGAAAAAAAAAAGAGAGAAGCAAACCAAGAAACACTCTTAACTATAGAGAACAAACTGGTGGTTGCCAGAGGGGATGTGGGTTGGAGGATGGTTGAAATAGGTGATGGGGATTAAGGAGTGCACTTGTCCTGAGGAGCACTGGGTGATGTATAGAAGTGTTGAATCACTATATTGTACACCTGAAACTAATATTATACTGTATGTTAACTAACTGGAATTTAAATAAAAACTTAAAAATAAAATAAAATATTTGAGACTGCCAAAAAATAAAAATAAAAACAGTACTGTACTGTAAATGGATTTTCCCTTCCTTACGATTTTCTCCATAACATTTTCTTTTCTCTAACTTACTTTAAATACAGTATATAATATATACAACATATAAAATATGTGCTAATCAACTGTTTATGTTATGCGTAAGGCTTCCCATCAACAGTAGGCTATTAGTAGCTAAGTTTTGGGGGAGTCAAATGTTATATATGGATTTTCAACTGAGTTGGGGGGGATCACTGCCCCTAACACCACAATTGTATGAGGGTCAACTAACTGTATTTTGACCTGAAAGCAATTAAGAAGCAGCAGATACAAGAAAAGCTCTCTGCTCTCCCCCCATATGCCTAAAAGCAGAACGTAAATTTGTAAAGACGCCCCTGGTCCCCTCTCTACCAGAAAGGACATGGCTTAGTGGGCTAAGCCTCTGACTCTTGATTTGAGTTCAGATCATGATCTCGGGGCCGTGGGATCAAGCCCCACATCAGGCTCCGAGTTCAGCATGGAGTCTGCTTGAGATTCTCTCCTCTCCTTCTGTCCCCTCCCCTGCTCGCACTAGCTCTCTAATAAATAAATAAAATAAAATCTTAAGGAAAAAAAAGGAAGAAGAAGTTAGTTACCCTCAGAGACAACTCCAGACCCTTATCAGCCCACAGATGGCACCAGAGAAATCCCAAACTTAAATGGCCCTTATCTTCCATTAGTTTCCCATATATTTACCTTTCCACTATTTGCCACTCTTGAAACTCAGTTCTTTTCCTTTGTCTTGTCACTCCTCTACAAATTATTCTTTGGTTAAGATGTAGTAAGCCCAAGTTCATCTAAGTACTTCCATGTATATCAGTGCCTAACATGTTAATGTTTTTCTTTTTTTAATTTGTTTTCTCTTTTTAGTCTCTTTTGAAGATTTAATTCATGGGGGCCAATAAACTTAAGATGGGTAGGGGGAAAAGACTTTTTCTCGCCCTAACAAACCTCAAAGTACTTGTTTCTGTGATGTTCCTGTGTTGGTTGCTCTGGCGATAGGTAAAAGGCTATAAGAGGTCATGCTCCTTCATTTTTGCACAGTTTCAGATTATGATGACCAAAGAATAAAGATTCTTAACTCATTTTGCATACATTTTCTATTAATTTTATTTTTGAGCCTAACATATCTAGTCAGAAAACCATGAAAAAATCAGATCTCACACCTTTTCACAATTACCAGGAGGCTGGGCCACACACTTGACATCCAGTATCAACAGAAACAATGATTCCTTTATCCTATCTTTTGATTACTATTCTTTGTCTACTTCTAGTTCCTCAAGAGTCATTCCCCTATTTGTAAAATCATCTTGCATAAAGAGACATAAAATCCTTAGGCATTTGCTTTGGGATAAGTTTCATGGAGATGTTCTTGTGCAGATTAAATAAAAATCCCATTCTTGTCAACCTATAGAAAAGTTCGTTCTTTCCTAAAATTCGTTATTTTTTCATTCTTCACTATTTATTTTCTTCCAAAATACCAAAAAAATAAATGCATGCTTATGATACATTTTTAAAGGAGAGGTTTACAGAAAAGTAGAAAATCACAGAAAATGGTAATCCTAGCATTTGAAAATGTGTAATACCACACTTTTTAATTTCATTTTTTTTTTCATTTATGGCGGGCATTATCTGTCACTGCCTATAACGTTAATTTTAACTGATTGCCTAACATTTTATTGCTGTGGGGGTAAATAGACCTGACTTGGCTAACCCTCATTTAGTTAAGTCTGTTTTTAATTTTTAACTCTTAAATAGCAGACTAAGACAAGCATCTAAGTTTGTGCTTCAAGTTAAAAGCCCTTGGATGAAAAGGCCAAAAATCAAAAAAGGGGTGAGGCGGGGAAATGTTCTCTTTATTTGCATTTCTCTGACGTAAACATTTTTTTCAGACGGGTAGTTGCTTGCATTGTTTTCTTTTGTTCAGATCCTTTGTCCAGTTTTCTTCTGCAGGATTTGGGGGTTTTCCCCATTTCCCTTTAATTAGAAACAACCTGTCGTGAGCCTCCCCACCCCTCCCCACACGCCCACTTAGTTCCCTGGGTGTGAAAAGCCGCTTTCCCAAGTGCAATCTCGGCGCGTTGTCACGGACTCCGCCCCGGTGTCACAGGCCCCGAAGGGCTCGCAGGCGTGCCGTTTTCGCCACCGCGCGCTCTTGCGCACGCGCAACCCGCCAGCCTCACGGCCCCCTCACAAAGGTGGCTCTCGGGGCCGGCCGGAAGTGGACGCGCAGCGGCCAGGGCGGGGTAGTGTGTACTACATTTCCCGAAAGGCTGAGGGATGCGAGGCCAGCGGTGGCTGGGTTGAACGGCCGCGGACTACACTTCCCGACGCGCCGCGCGAGACGTTTCCAGCGGCGGCTGAGCTAAACGGCTGCGGACTACTCTTCCCGACGCGCCGCGCGAGGCGCCCCCGGCGGCGGGCCGAGGGCGGGCCGACGCGGGAAGCTCCGGACGTGAGGCATGAGCGGCGCCCTCCCCCGGCCCGCGCGCGTCCTGCTACTTCCCCGAGCGAGGGTCGCACGGTGCGGGGCCTAGCGGCGGGCATCTCGAGCCCTCCGCGTGCGCAGGGGCTGCTGCGGCCGCGCCGGGCGCCGGTGAGGGCGGCGGCCACCATGGAGGTGAGCGGGCCGGAAGACGACCCCTTCCTGTCGCAGCTGCACCAGGTGCAGTGCCCCGTGTGCCAGCAGATGATGCCCGCCGCGCACATCAACTCGCACCTGGACCGCTGTCTGCTGCTCAACCCCGCGGGGCACGCGGAGCCCACGGCCGGGCCGCACCGCTCCGGGGAGCGGGCCAAGGGGCTCTCGCCTCCCAGCGCCAAGAGGCGGCGGCTCTCCGAGAGCTCGGCGCTGAAGCAGCCGGCCACCCCGACGGCGGCCGAGAGCAGCGAGGGCGAGGGCGAGGAGGGCGACGACGGCGGCGAGACCGAGAGCCGGGAGAGCTACGACGCGCCGCCCACGCCCAGCGGCGCCCGCCTCATCCCCGACTTCCCCGTGGCCCGCTCCAGCAGTCCCGGGAGGAAGGGCTCGGGAAAGAGGCCGGCGGCCGCGGCCGCGGCGGCGGGCAGCGCGTCTCCGAGGAGCTGGGACGAGGCGGAGGCGCAGGAGGAGGAAGAGGCGGTGGGCGATGGCGACGGGGACGCCGACGCGGACGGCGAGGACGACCCGGGCCACTGGGATGCGGACGCCGCCGACGCCGCCGCCTTCGGGGCCAGCGGTGGGGGCCGCCCGCACGCCCGGGCGCTGGCGGCGGAAGAGATTCGGCAGATGCTGGAGGGCAAGCCGCTGGCGGATAAGATGCGCCCAGACACGCTGCAGGACTACATCGGGCAGAGCAGAGCCGTGGGGCAGGAGACGCTGCTCCGGTCCCTCTTGGAGACGAACGAAATCCCCTCCCTCATCCTGTGGGGCCCGCCGGGCTGCGGCAAGGTGAGTGCCGCCTTGGCAGGAGGGTTCCGAGTATTGATCTCTACGGGTCGGGCATGGATCTAACGGTCAGAGAGCCGTGGCGGAGGCCGTCCCCGAAGAATCCGCGCGTCCACCGTGGATGTTGAGACCTGAGGGCAGGGCTTCAGATACCATCTGAGCCGGGGCAGCACCAGGTCCACAGGTGGAGTTAGTGATGGGTGTGAAAGACACACCCCGCCAGATTTGTAAGACACGTTTTCTGGTCATTTTCAAAATGAAGATGTCTGAATTCATAGGTTTACAAAAATATTTGCACTCTTAGATTTGATCTTTGTGTTCTAACGTGTACCCCCACCCTCCCATTAATGACCCAGTTCTCAAGGAAATGACATGCTACAAATTGCAGAGGAACATTTGTATATTCGATTTGTAGGTACGTGGGTTTAGCTTGGGGGCAAAAGATCAAAATTTTTTTTGTTTCAGTTGTGTTTCTCTTCCCTCCCTCTAGCTGTTGGTTTATTTTAACAGACTGATGTTTATTTATCCTTGAGAATATATTTATTTAACAAGACTAATATGAAAACTCTTTTCCCTTTCCAAGTCGTTTTCATCTAGCATTTCCATAACTATCCTCACTATGCTTTCTACTTGAGGGAAGAAACATCAATGCATTTTGGTGTCCAGTTGTATGTACCTTGTTAGGAATTAGCACATGTCCAGAGGAAAGTAGTTCAGATATTGGGGTCTAGAAAACATGTCATTGGAGAACACTTGAGAAACAGTGGCAGAGTTAAGCAAAACAGAGAAGGCTAAGAGGTGTTTAAATATATGATTTTTTTCTATCCACAGGAAGAGAGAGGAAGATGAGCACCCGTGAGTAAAAGGCAAAATTCAGTATCAGAATGTAAAGGGGCCCTCTTAGCTTTGTGATTCACACTCCTTAGTTAGTATACAAGGGCTTTGATGATTTTTCCCAGTTTTCTTTCCGACTTCATCTCCAACTTAATCACACGTTCCTTTCCTCCAGTTCCTGGAATGCATCTTGCGCATTTTGTGCCTTCTTGTTCGCACTCATACTTTCCCTTTGGCCAGGAATAAATCATATCTATCCCAAATAATTTACCTGGTAGTAGATTAGTTGCTACCCCATTTAGGAGATTGAGCAAGAGCATTATTAGTAATTGCTCACAAAATCTTTACATAAGGTCATGAGAATGGCTAATCAGCTGTTGGCAGACTAGATGGCAAGAAAAAACTCCGGAGGAAAATGAGTAGGGTGAACTAATAGAAGATGCCACACAAGAGATGTGATGGGCTGCTCAGCATAGTGGTTAGTGGTCACAAGCCTAGGCATATGTGGTGTGGGAGCCCATAGGCCGAGATTTGATGAAGAAGCAGCCACAGTATCTTAGTGGTACTATAGAAACTTTAGAAAATAAAATGCACCTTTCCATTCATTCAGGACCAAATTTGTCTCTCTCATTAAACACACTTTTTTTATATTCATTCTTACTATTATACTTTTCTGCTAACAATAATGATATTAATAACAGCATATGCACATTTATGGAGCACCTGGTAAATGCCAGGCACTGAGCAGTGGTTTCCTTGGATCTCGCCATTGTCTTCTCGTAACTGCTAACATGATCAAAGTGCTATTGTTTAATCTACTTCCAAAGTAGACATTCAGAGTTGGCAGCATGCAGTCATCTTAAATGCTAGGTAGTTGTCATTGGTCTTTCAGTTCAAAGGCTCACTCCTTTTCTAAGCTGCACTGATGAGCCTCCAGTTGTAGAATTGATTGATTCTGTGGTTCTGCACTCCATTTCTACAACTAGTCCTTCAACAGTAATGCTTTCTTGGCTGGAAGAGGTCACAGCTGTCACTCAGGCTTTGCTAAATCAAGACAGCCGCTCTTTATGGGGATTCCAAAGATCTTAGAGTCCCCAAAAAAGGAATCAAACAGGGTTAGGTATAAAGGAGAAAAGGTCAGGATTAGACTAACATTTAGCTACTTTCCTGTTTTAACATTTTTTTTTTAATTTTTTAAAAATGTGCTGTGGTATTTCGGATTGTATCTGTGCTGCTGAGCGTTCTTTAGAGTTCAAGTTGCTTGGTAAATAGTGCTGATGCTGCTTGTGTTGATGCCCATGGGTGCTTTTCTCTCTGTGTCTGATCAGCTTTCCAAACTCTGTGTGTCATATTTTCTAGACCACTCTGGCTCACATCATAGCCAACAACAGCAAGAAACATAGCATAAGATTTGTGACATTGTCTGCAACAAATGCCAAGACAAATGATGTGCGAGATGTCATAAAACAAGCTCAGAATGAAAAGAGCTTTTTCAAAAGGAAAACCATCCTTTTTATTGATGAGATTCATCGGTTCAATAAATCTCAGCAGGTATATTAACCTCCTTCTACCTTTTGGTCATTGTGAACATTATAGTGAATACAAAGTATGTGAGATTACGTTGAAAAGCATAAAGCACTATGTAAATGTAAGGACTGTTGTAATCATTAATTTTCTGTGTATAGAGAGGTATAGATTGTTAGCCCATCTCCTTTGAGCCTACTTCCCCACTTTTTCTTAGTGATTTTTGGTGATAAGAAAATGCTTTTCTCTATCTGATAAATGAAATTATTAGTATGGCCCTGAGCTATAAGCAATTTAACTTGATTTTAAGATCCTTATTTTAATATTTTTAAACTTCTCCCCTATACAGTGTTACTTTACTGTGACCTCAGGCACTTAGCAGGGTGAATGTTACAAGATCTAATCACCACTACTTATTTAAATGGCTTTCTGAAATAAAAGTAAAAGGACAGTTTATTTTTATAAACAAAGCCAAGTCACTTTTGTATCCTTTCTAAGTAAACATTAACTTTTTTCTTCAAGTACACTTTTTTCTTTGATATAGGTGTTAATGCTTTTTAATCAGAGATAGAAATATTTTACAAAACCTTACTGATAAGTTTTTGTTCCTGATCTGAATCTCTTTTTTTATTTATTTTTTTATCTGAATCTCTTTTTAAATAGACTCTTCAGAGTTCTGACAGGATGTTATCACTTTCAGTTTCATTAGACCATTGACTCATCTTAGCATTTCTTCCCTGTAAGACAACATCCAGTGGTTACATATTCACCAAGGCATATTTACCAAGTTTGTTAGGAAGAATAACTATTATGATTGAGTACTCCAGAGGAAAATTTTAGAAATACTAATGTTTTTGTGTTTTCTTAAACTTAAATAGCTGCTGTATTTAAGCTATCTGCCAGTTGGGATAGGAGCCTTAGGATAGAAGATAATTTTCTAAGTAAAAAAATCATTTATGTTGAAACTACGTTAGAATTCTACTTTGAGCTCTTAGTGTGCCAGCAGGTGGCCAGGCTTAGACATTCACAGTCCAAAAGGTGTGTTTTTGGCTTAAAAAGCATGAGTGCTTCCACTCCCAACAGTGCATCCGTCACCAATGAATATAAAGCTGTTGTTCCTGAACTGAAAACTAGGAAAAGGAAGAAATGGGCAACTTACATAGTATTCTGCAGGTTGTTGACTGGAATCAATTTCTTCTGTTTTCCTCCCATGATTAGGACACTTTCCTTCCTCACGTGGAATGTGGGACGATCACTCTGATTGGGGCAACCACGGAAAACCCTTCCTTCCAGGTCAATGCTGCCCTCCTAAGCCGCTGTCGGGTTATTGTTCTTGAGAAGCTTCCCGTAGAGGCAATGGTGACTATTTTAATGCGGGCGATCAACTCACTGGGAATCCACGTCCTAGACTCCAGCCGTCCCACTGACCCTCTGAGCCACAGCAGTAACAGCAGTTCAGAGTAAGTTGACTGCGGGCAGTATCGTGGGGACACACACCTCTCAGAGAATCCCCTGGCAGAGGGCCAGAAAGGGCTGGATGGCAGTAAGGAGAGGGCGGGGACAGAGAAGAAATGTTGATCTAGTAATGAAGACAAGAACGGAGGAAAGTGCTCAATTGTACCAAATGTATCTCTGCAAACATTTCCTCTTTTTAAGATGGATTTTATAGCCCTATAAGGGGTGCATCTAATTTTTCAAGCTTTAACATTGTTTTGCCCATTATTTCAGTCCTTGGGTGTTTGCTTTTGTGCTTAAGGATTTTTTTTCCTAACACTTTTTTTATAAGGCTTGGAAGACTGTATGGGAAGCCTTACCGATGATTTTCTTTCATGGAATAGGCTTAACCTACAAATCTTTTGAGCTTTATATTCAGATTCCAATTTCTTTTTTCCTGCAGCTTATTCCTCTTTTAGAAGTACTAACTACAAATTAATATAAATGTTATAGCAATTTTTAAATCTTTTTAGAATTATTTTTGCACATTTTAAAAGTCAAGCTCAATTCTATAAAAGTAAAGAAATTTTACCTGAAAACGACACATTAAAAGTTCTCTCTTTCCTTTTGGCAACCTATTTCTGTATCATGAGTACTGTGTGAGTTCATTAATACACAGAGTATATATATAGTGTATAATCAATTAGATTACTTGGGTTAGAGGTTAACTTTATATTCAGATATATTCTTCAGATGTCGTTTATTCATGTGTCAACTGAAATAACACAGTGGAACATAATCTGGTGTGATGAGAGACTAATGCCTGCCTCTTCATGCTGTGGACCCCACAGCTGCTGGTGCCTGCCCTGAGGCCAAGTTCTGGAGCCACTCTTCTATGAGGATTAAAGAACAAGACATAGTTTTAGGTTCAGGGTTTAAGTTTCAAGAGTCTCTCCTTGTGTGTCTGGCCTCTCCCATTTGCCCCTTCTCATGTAGGAGAAATTATGCTCTGCCTCACAAAGCCTTGAAACATGGCCAAGGATCCCCAGGCGCAACAAAGTCACATCATTTTAGGGTAGAGTTGTGATGGCATAGCCATCAAAATTGTGGCCTAAAAGAAATATGGAACTTGCTGGTATCCATTAAGTGTATCCATACTTAGGAGCCCTTTGTGTGCTTGGCACTTGGGGTTAAAACGGGCTACATACAGCCAGTCCTCACATCTAGTATAGCTGTCCTATAAACAATATTTTCACTGCAAAACTCATATAACCAACTGATAAAAATGGGAAGACAGAGGAACAAATATCCCAACATATTCCTGTGTATTTTTATTTCTGGGTACTGGTTATCATAACATATCTACAACTATATATCCTGCGTTTTTATTAATCTAGGGTAGTTTTATTGATCTCAGTCATGTCATGATTTCATGGAATTGTTATTCAGGTACCCTCAGGTTTTTTCTCTCCCCAATCACTGCCATGCCATAATTAGGTGAAATGAGAAGGACAGTGGAAGAACCATGGAGCTCATCTTAAAAAGGATTTCTGCATTTTAACCGGATCCCCGAATCATTTGCATACACAGTAAAATTTGAGAGGATCAAGTAAAAGAATTAAGATTTCTCTTATTACTGAGACTGGGAGCTGGATACAAAAGTGAGCCAATGACTCTTCATCTGCTAAAATTGCCATTCAGTCAGAGAAAACCTGCCATGTCCAATAGATGTTTGCTTTTTCCACTACCATTCATTTGGAATTGATCCTAATTATAACTTATTTTTATTCACTTGTTTCCTTTCTAATTCCCACCCCTCCCCTTCCTGGGAGGGCTAACAGGATAAGAACTTGTCCTCCTTGTTCATATTCCCAGCACAGTGCCTAGTGTATACATGCTTAGTAAATGGTTTGTGAATGAATAAATTCTAACTTTCAATATGAGAAAAATAGTTTAATCTTATTTTTGGGTAGTCCAGCATGAGGGATGATTGTCCCATTGCCCAGGTATCGAGAACCTTTGTCTTTAATACTATTGCCTAAGAAACAATGAAATTAAAGATTATTAAGCTTCATTAATTGATCTACTTGTTAGTAATTCTGACAAGAAAGTTAGGTTGGGAGATGCCGTAGGCCACAAAAAGAACACTTACCTTATAAGTGATTTCCTAACAGAAGCATCTGACCACCCCAGTTGCCATGGAGAATTAAAAATGGATATTGTTTTCTTTCAATTTTAGGTAAAATTGTACTTTCACATCTATTGATTGTCTTCAAATGTATATACATTCTTGTGGACATAAATTAGTTTGGTTACACTAATTTAGCTGGAAGGAAAGACTTTAAACCCCAAATAATTACTTCTCTGGGAAACCATGAGTGCATTTGTAGTCTTGTGTGTTGGTGCCCTAGTTTACAGAGAAATCTAGACTACTTACGGCTGCGCATGAGAGGAGCTGAGCAGGTAGTGGTCTGGACACTAGTCAAGCTGATCCTTAATTGTTGATTTTTCTTGAGGAGTTGTGAGTTCTCATCTAGTATATGTTTGTACATGACAGATTCCCATTAGAGTAAGATAAAAGTGTTCTTCCTAAGTTTTTCCTTCTGTATTTTATTTGTTCAACGTTAATTGAAGGCCCCACATATGCTAGGCATTGGCTGAGTGCTGAAAAGCACATTCCTGTGCCTTTATAGAGCTTAGTCTATGATAAGGAGAAAGATAGGTAAATGGCTTCCAGGAGCATGCTGTGATTGCGTTATGACCAAGGAGTGGTAGAGAATAGAGAGGAGGCATCTAGAATATGTGAAATCAGATATCTCACCTGGCAGCTGAGGCGGTGCTGAGTTGAATTTTGAAGGATAAGCAGAATTTAAATGAAATGGAAAGCTCATTTTGGCAAGGAAATATGGCCCCTAAAAGTCAAGGTAGTAATAAATAGTCTGATCCATTCATTATAGCTGAGTGGAAGAGTGGGCATGAGGAAGTGATGGTCAGTGAAGCCAGGGAGGGAGGCAGAGCCAGATTTATGAAAGACCTGTGTTTTAAGATAAGGTAAGTGATGCAGAGAGCTATGGGAAACCATAGAAAGATTTTGAGCAACGGAGTGACATAACAGCTCTACGTTTTAGGAAAATGAGAATAGCATTGGAGAGGGTGGGTTGGAGGGAGTCAAGTCCCATCTTCCCTACCCCTCACCAGGGAGCAGGAAGACCAGTTAGGAAGCTATTGCAGTGGTGCTGAAGACAAATAACAAATGCAGGTGACTTGAACAAAAGCAGGAGCTGCTCTGAGAAGTTGCACAGTTGGGTTGTGAGCCTGGGTGTGAGGAGGGAGGAAAAAGGATGACTGGGCAAATAGTTGCACTTTTCACAAGAGGGATTTAAGGAAGAGGAGCAGAGGAGGTGTGGAGTTCAGTTCGGGACTTGCTCAGTTTGTGGGGCCTCTGGATGATTCATATGGAGAGGTTTTCTAGGCAGTTAGGTAAAGAAGTCAAGAGAGTAGTAGAGATGTTTGAGCCAGAGATTTGGGAGCCACCAGCACTTCAGAGAAGATATAGCCCATGTGTTTGAATAGGAGAGCTGAAGAGAGCCAGGAACTAAGGGTATAAGTTGAGGACTTGTCAGCATTTGTTGTGTAGGAGAAGACAACGTTTAGAAAGGTAGGAAAAGCAGAAGGATGCTCCACAGAGAAGAGCTTCAGCAGGGAGGGAGTACTCAGCGTTATTGAACCATTTAGGATTAGGTTTGGCTGCATGTAACAGGAAAAAAATCAAATTAACTGGCATTAACAAGATAGAACTTTCCTTCTCATGTAAAAGAGTCTGAAGGTAGACAAGTATAAAAAAATGCAGCTGCTAGTCAGCCTCATGGTATCATCAGGGACACAGACCCTTATCTTTCTGCTGTACCGCCTTCAGCACCTTGGGGCTTCTACCTCATGCCCCAAGGTGGCTACTAGAGCTCTAGCCATCATATCTGCATTCCAGGCAACAGGAAGGAAGAAGAGCCAAAGAACAGTATCTTCCCCACCCCTACTCCCTTATTTACCACCTCACAGCTTTAGTGAGACATCTGCAAAGTAGTACTCTGTATTCAATTGTGATTTGATTGTGAAGAGAAAGATAGAGGTAAGCTGGTAATTTATGTTGAATTATCCATACCATAGTTCTTTTGGTCTGTTTGGGTAATCAGCAGTTTTCATATACTTTACTAAGCATCTTGGTCACAGGGTACAAACTGTGAAGCATGGTGTCTGTGCACTGGGTTAATTTCGGAGACCAGGAAAAAAAAAATCCATGGTCTGTCATCCAGTGACCTTGTGCTGCTGGCAGTAAGAAAGTGAACTAGTGTTTAGTCACTCTGAGAACTTGCTGCTTTGAAGGGTTATAGATTCCAGATAATAAGACACACACATATTCAAAAACACCCCTAAAGAATCCATTGTTTGTGGGCTAGATAACTGCGCTTGTTTGTGGGTATGAGGAGAGTAGAGCAAGGAGCCGGGATTGCCCTGTCGCTGTCCAACGAGGCAGTTCCAGCAGTTGGTTGGAAGTTAAAATGGCTCTGTCCTGCTGGAGTGAGGGTGCTGCGGCTTGACTCTGAGACTGGGGCTTTTCTCTAATCACCGGGAGAGGGGAGCCCGCACAGACCGGCTGCAGGCTGGTTTGGTTGGGTTTTATTAATATTATTAATATTAATATTATTGCCTGCCTTTCAAAAATAATCTTTTCTAAACACTGAATGGAGAGAAAGGTAGTGGAACACCAGAATAGAAAGTACTGATCGGAATGAGTTGTGGATTTAGTTAGAGTAGACTTTAATAATTCTCCTTAAAAATGGTTTGCTATAAAGAAAAAAAGGTATATAAGCATATGTTACGAAAATGATGACAAAAATAATGGCAACCAGAAAGAAACACCAATCAATCTCACTGACCTTGCATCTCTTTCCTCTTCCTGCCATCACAAATTATGGGTATCCCCTACTTTCTGAAAGTTCACATTATACCACTTCACATCCATGGAGGA